AATTCTTCATTTGATATTTATGATACATAATGTGTGAATATTTTGCTCTTATTGCCTTTATCGCACTTGACCCAACCCCACCTCTTACTATAAAATTTTTGATCAAATCTTAATTAATTATTTTATTTATATAATAATGAGCAAATTTACAAAGTGCACGCGATTGTTGTTTTACTCATTTTTCCTCCTTGGGACTAGGTCGTTTATTGGCCTTTTCTCCCTTTCAACAGTGAAACCGATAACAACTCCCGCCCTGCCTAATAAAATATTAGCAAAAGTTAAATTGCGATATTTGATACGCACTTAATCGTCACTGGCCGTTTAGTATCATTAGAAATTCAACGTTTGTACAGTTTAAGAGAAATAGTTTATCATTTTCATTTTTTTATCAAACAATATTCAAAACTTTTGAATAATATCTACACACTATATCGGTGTAAAGTAAGTTTTTTTATTTTTGCTAAATAAATAGTAGTTGTTATACTGAGTAGTCTAATAATTTTGTCTGAATTAGACTTGTCGAATCAAATTCTGTGATTCTTATCAAATTTTAATTTTGTTTTCAATTGAAGTAGTACTAGTGCATTGGTTAGTTCTATTTTGATTGCTGTAACAAGTCATTTGTTTTTTTTTGTCACTTGAAGAAATTGTTAAATGTTAAATGAATGATTTTTTGTGCTTGTTCCTACGGCTATTCAATTGATACAATGACCTCGTTATTTTTTATGTATTTACTAAAAATTAATTTTAAATAATAATACAAAAAGAATATTCTTTCTTTAAGAATTTATTTTATTCATGAGTAAACTTTTAAATGTATTTAATATGTATAAACTATATTAATTAATACATCTTAGTTAAATATCTTCGAAATAGACTAGTGCACATTTATTTTTAATTGCACATTCAGAATATAGATTACCTTAATGAATATAATTCAAAAACTCAATTTTATTTTACATAAACTAGAAATTAAACAATTGAGTGATTCAAGTCTAAAAACGAACTTGAAATAATTTTTGTTTCTATTCCTGTTATAGGTTGTCTTTCTGGTTTAGCATTATGAACACTATTAATAATTGTTTTACGCGTTCTTAAATTAAAACTATTACATTTAACAAATATCTACCATCTTGTTCATTTTGAAATAATTTTCTTCTTTGTTTACTGCATAAACTTCGTTGTAACATAGTTTTATCAAATAGAATGAAACAAGTATTAACAAGTAAACAACTAAAAAATTTAATATTTTTTATAACCATATGTCTTAAACAACTTTAGTTTTATTAATTTCCTCAAACTTTTATTAAGTAAAAAATTAAACAAATAATGTAAAATATAAATTGTATTAATTTTATTGAAGGTTAAAATAAATTAGTGGGCGATTATGTTAATTCATTTGTATTATTTTAAAAAATAGTATCTAGTTTGTTCAAATAGATTTGTTCATCATACAAGGCCTATTTTAATTTTTTTTACTCTAAAATCATTTGTATAATTTTACTGAAGTATTTATTATTAATTGAAGATTATACCCGTGGAGATTTTTTTTGTTTTCGTTTTAGATGTGTCCAAAATAATGATTAATGATGTTATAAAATTAGTGTAATAAATAAACAAAAAAATTAATATTAAGGTAGTATGTAAAAAAGAAATCACAAACTATCAATGATGGAAATTAATTAAATCCCCAATTACTTTTACTCGATTTTCTTATCTAGTTCAATAAATAATTATTTAGCAGTAAATTTTTATCAGGCAAAATATAAAAATAAAAGTTTGCTTTCCAGAGATCGACCTTTCCTTGTCTAGCGATTCAAGGTCACCTTATTACGTTGCGATCTGCTTCCCACGTATTGGCTCAAATTTCATCAGGAAGATTATTCTATTGATGTATACTGAATCTAATGTTAAAAACAAAGTATTTAATTTATTGTTAACCCCTAGATGTATTCTATAATAATAATAATTTTAAAGATATCTTTTATTTAGTATAATACTTTTTATTTCTCGATTTATAAATGGTTAAATATTTTTATTTCGACATTTTTTAACCTTTATAAGGGTACCAAATTTATCTTTTTAAATGGCAATACACATATATTACTAGCCTTATAATTCTAAAATGTTCATATTAAGATGATATGACTGGTCAATAATAATTTTTGAATCTGAATTTTGGGAGTTTTAAACATTTTTATATGTAGGAGAGAGGAGAAACGCGATAAAACGGTAAATAATAATAATATTATTAATATATATTATATATTACATTACCCGCACATCTAGTCTAAATTAATAATAGTTAAAATTTCCGAAATACTATTTAAAAATTCGTTATCGACCAGTCATTTTCTTGGTTTGATCATATCCTAGAACTTAATCTATTAAAATACGTATATTACTATATTAAAATATAAAGTTTTTTAAGTACCCTTATAAAGGATAAACGGTAAATCTTAAAAATATTTAACCACATATAAACTTAGAAATAAATAATTCTACACAAAATAATAAAAACATTTTTAACATTAGTGTTGTAGAAAATATTTAATGGTCAACTATATATCAATCGCTCCGTAATAAAAATTTGATTAAAAATTAATTTTTATGTTGCAAAATGTTTATTATATTTATTTTTCAATTTATGTTTAACTTTAACTTTTAACATTTAGCTTTAACTTTTTACAATGAATTCTACAATATAATCCTAGTCATCTCCGAAAAAAAGTAGTTTAGTCCCAAATTTTATTAATCACTATTATATAAAAACTTTTAAATAAAAAATGTTGTATTTATGCACAGTGTAATCATTAGCCTAGATGAATCTAAAATTCTGATGAGAAAATTTTCAGTGATACCTAGCTGTCACTTTTTTGTATTCAGTTGTAGAGTAACGACCTCATCACGTGTCGAAACATTTTGTTTAGTAATATCATTGAACAAGGTTACTTTCTAAGAATTGGGTTCACTCTTGAAAAAATAATTTTTTCGGTACAAAATAATTATAATTGTAGCAGACTATGTTATATTAAAATTTAAACCAATTTTATCTATTTTTTGTGTTTAGTTTTTAAAAATTATATTCTAAGATTAAATTGATTTTTCAGTAAGATTATAACTATAATTAACTACAATGACCGTAAAAACAAGACCACTAGTGTTTGTACTTATGTATATAAATAACTAAATTAATTGTTTAAAATATTTATTTTTCGTTTTTGTTAGAGTATTCGGAAGATAATCTTAATATTGATAAAAACGAATGATGATTATACATAACGACGGTTTTAAGAATTCCTTAAGTGCCAGTCAAATGATTTTGCCATGGGAGGGAATGTAAAACATTTATACTATATATTTTATTTGTAGTTTTATATTAAGATTTTATTAAGAACTGTTATAAATGCATAAATGTCTTTTTTCTTATTAAGCTTATTTTTTTTTATATAATTTATTTGAAAATAGTATCTCGTTGAATTTACTTACATATAAATAAAAACCAAGATTTACAACTTATTCCCCTAAATTGTTGGTTTCATAATTTTTTCACGTTAAATCTACTCAATAACTTTTAAATTAAATTATCTCATATAAAATAAATACATATTATAATGAAAATTATACATAAATGTCAAAAAGGTTATATAGATGGGGATCTCTTAATCATCCTAATCAAACCCATTCCTAATCATCTCATTTTACCGTCACTACATTTCTACCTTACGCTTGTTGTTTATAACGTTCAATTATACGTATTTATGTTATCGACATAAGTGTTATTTAGGTTGTGACCTAGTAGTAACTATGGAGATACTACGATATTAATAAGATAGTACTGATGAGTTTTTTTACTAACATCCAAAAATAATAATTTTTTATCGCTTGTTTATCGTGTAAAATGAAAACATAAACCTACACTTCTTTTTTCTCATTTTCTCATTATATGTTTGTATTTTTACTACTCATAGCATCGCAGGCATGGGTTTTAACACAGAGTGAAATGGGAGATAGAATCTCATAGTGAAAATAAATGTGTGGTAAAGACGTATTTTGGTGTAGTAATAAAAAATTTCCCCCAAGAAAAAATCTTGAGAATAATATTGACCGCAGGATATTGGTTTATTTATATATATACTGTATTTATGTATATTTTTAATTTTTTTTTATATATTTTTCTTATAATCTCTATATTCATTTGTGATGTTTTATTTTTATTTTGAATTTATTTTTGGTTGATTGCTAATTAATTTTTTTTTCCTAAATTAAAAACAATAGATAATTTGTTATTACTTCTATGAAAAAGAGTAATTCTCTTTATTATAATTTTTTTCAATTTAGTTGAATTCTTAATTTAATGTGTTATGCGAATATTATCAATATAAACTTCCTACTGTACGTTTGCTACATACAATTGCAAATATAAACAAATGATTTTCAATGTTTAAATATAGCGAACTCAACAAAATGAATACTGAATGATTCATCGGTTATTCATTCAAGAGGACATCTAGTTCATGGATAATTAGATAGCATTGTTGTCGTTAGTTTTATTTGAATAGGAACAGAGCGCACGTCAATAATAAACACAAAATAAGTTTTAACAGACATTTTTCGTTTGTTTCTAATTTCTTGTTTTTGTTTTATGTTTACTGGTTAGTATAACTTTAATTGTGCCATCAATTTTATTAGTAATGTATTAGGAAGGGGACTTCTGTAGTCCAAATATCACATGAAATAACTGATCCAGTACGTTCATTGAATGATGCACTGTAGGACCGCCTATGTGTATTGCCAGCAGAAATTCTGCGGTATTGACCTTGTAACGACAGCGCTTGAAGCGGTTAGCGAGGATACCACAACGCACCACGGCGCGGCGAGGCTCTCTACCAATCGGATCGCATATACTGGTATCACGCCACCGAGTATCCTCAGGTCACGCCATTACCTCCCCTCGCACTTAAATTAACTCCCCTCCATTTCGTCTATCCGTCAGTTTTTCCTATCGTCATAGTTGATGATCTACCGTATGATTTTATTTAGGATCTTTCGCAGTAGATTTTAAGCATCTAGACTCTAAGTCGACTAAATGAATATATCGTATACTTTAGATTTACATACTTAACCGCAGAGTTATGTGTCAATAATATTTTTTCTTAATTTTTTTTTTAATAGTGATTAATGTTTAAAAACACGTTATTTATTTGTTATTTATTAATAAACATTTCTTTCAAGTATTGAATTTTACACTAGTAAAGTTTGTGCTTTGAATTTTTAAAGAAAAGTCCATCATTTATATGGGGTTATACGCCGCGACTGCACAGCACGTGGCGTCCACATTCAAATACTAAACGAATACCATTACTATATTACATAAGTAATTAATTAACTATTCATTGAAGCCTCAAGCCCTAGCTAGACGTAATTATGGGTAAGATTATTTTTTATCAAGTAAAAAAGCGGGTATCTTTTATTTTCAGTTACATTAAAATAATTAATTTGTGAAAAATAAAATTCATATTGTTAATGCTAAAAACTTAATATATTTATTACTATGTTTTCTTTCATTCCTTAAATTATAGCATATTAAATAAACTGTATACCTATATATTTTTCAAATTATTTATTTGGTAAATCTTATTATTCAGTGTCGGATTGGGAAAAGAAAGCCTACCGAGATTTCTTAATCGTTATACGAACAATTTTTTTAATAATTATTATAAAAAATACATAAATGTATTTTATTTATTTTAATGTATTAGTCCTAAAAATTATTAGTAGTTATATCTATCATTATTTTCTGTTGACAGTAAACGATGTTCTTTATGCACATTTTAATCTTGGGTACAAACTATTTTAAGATTAAAAAATAAAATATATAATTTTAGTTTATGTGCTTAACATTATAGCTGCCTGCTCGATGAATAACTATAGTCTATAATAAAAAAATAATAATTTTAATATCTAAATATTATTTTAAAAATTAAAAGTAATGTAAAATACTATTCGTAATAAATTACTGGATTGGCATAAACAAAGCATAAGTTTATGGATGATTTTTATTTAAAAAATATTTTTTATTTTTAACTTAATAAATATTTATTTTTTATTGAGTCTATTAAATTTAAAAAAAAATTGATTGAGATTTTAATTGACAAATTCTTAAATCATAATAATAATTAAGAACGCTCCAATAGTTGGTGGAGAATCAAAAGAACATAACTCAACCAAAACAAATTATATTTTCAAACAGTATAATTAATTTTTTTGTTAAATTTATTTTTAAAACGATATAACTTTAAGGGTAATTTAACTAAAGCTTTCAACTTTAATAGTTTTATCATTGTAAAACTTTAAAAAAAATACGTTAAATATGGTTAAAGAAAAAGATAATTAATTGATACTTTCTTCTGATCCTATATCAATGAAATAAATCGCAGTATTCCAATTGATACTTGAAATAAATCTAAATGATAATTTATTAACATGAATACTGATACAATTTGATGTAATCTAGTGGTGGTTGTAGTGGGGAAAACCAGTCTGAGAAATTACAGCTCAAGTGATTTTCATTTGCTATTATGTATCACTGCCCGGATAAATTCATTTATTCTCCACCCTAAAATATATTTTATATATAAATTAACTAAATTTTTAGTGGGCTAATTCTTCAATAGGGTCTGAGTCCCTTAAGTGTGCCAGTTACCACCACTATTTGTTAATAAGATTGGACATTTTTAACTTAACGTTTTTAAGTTAATGATTTTACAACAACTAGTTATATTTATTCAATGATCTTTTCTGTTGTGCCTGAAGATCGCAATATTTTTTAGTGCTTAATTATAAACAGTCGTAATAATTATTAAAGTTGTATTCCGGTTTACAAAAAAAAATTTGATTGTTAGTCAAATTATTTATTCAAACATAAGGTGAATTGAATTTATAATTCTTTTTATAACTATTAATAATGAAATGTGATAAATCTTGAACACAATCCACTAATATATCTATAAATAATTAAAAAAAAAATTATTTACCTATACTCCGAAAAAGTACATTCTATAACCGTCGCGACTGTTTTGTAGAAAATGACACGTCGCTTAAGGGAATGCGACTATTCTTTCAGACTGATTTAAGATGACGTAAATATCTATTCTTTACGTTGGTTTTTAAAACGTCATTGGCAATGACTTATGAAGTAGAGTTCATATTATTCAGTTACACGTTTTGACCTTGATGAGAAAATTAGTTAATTTACGAATTTATACTGATACTAAAAATGAATTTACTCAATAGCATTGATCATAATGATCAAGTTTTTTTGTATTAAAATCTTTATTAAACTAAATATGTATAAAATTTTTCTGCTGAGCGTTCTAGTTGTAATATTTTTTTTGAAGATCTTTCCTTATGGACTAATCAAAATAATATTACCTGCCTTCGGAATATCCATTTATTAATAATATTATATTTTATTCAAGTCTGGAATTTTTAATTATCATTACTCTTGTGTCCTATGTTAGAGAATAAATACATATAGAGCTAAAATAATTTTGTCTTTTTTTGTTAATAATAATTATAATTTAAATATTTTTACGGTTTAACAATTTATAACTCGATATCACTATTTTAAATAATTCATTAATATACACATTGTATTGATTTTACTATTTAATTACAAAATAATATCCTTTAATAAAAATACTTATATGTTTAATGATATTGGTATTATAATGGCAACATTACACTTTTTTAAAAATAGTTTATGTTGTGATTGTAATATGTGAAATACACATAAGTTTAGTCTAAAAAGTTTTATTATGTTTTAAATATTACTATCTTCCTTTTAAATAAAAGGAAGTAAGAAAAAATAATTAATGTTTTATAGTTACTTGATTATATATGTCATTGTTATAATATAGATTACAAACTGTTATTTTAATAATATAGTTCATGAATTAACTTAATGAGTTGTAATTTGTTACATTAAGTTAATTTAATATATCTTACAACATTTTTTAACTTAAAATTATTTATTTAAAACATAAGTAATAAATATATTTACTACTAATGTTAAAACCACCATAATGGGTATAATAAAAAAATAATAAAGATAATTTTAAAATGTATACACTTTTGTCATTGTAGTAGCTGAAGGCAATATGCCAGCAAGATTTCCAGAGGCAGGTCAACAAGCCAATAATGTTACTGTTAATGGTAACTCACCATATTCCTCACACCACCTTGGTGACGATGAAATAGTTATTAGTGGTATTTCTGGGCGTCTCCCAGAGTCTAGTTCTATTGCTGAGTTCAAGGAACAGCTTTTTGCTGGTGTTGACTTGGTCACTGATGACGAAAGACGTTGGCCAGCAGGTAAAATGAAAAATACTTCTTTAGTTATAATCTCTGTTCTTTTTTTAATCATTTGTATTATGATAGGTTTACACGGTTTACCCACAAGAACTGGAAAATTAAAAGATCTAGCTCATTTCGATGCAAATTTTTTTGGTGTACATGCCAAACAAGCTGATGTAATGGACCCTCAACTTAGATTAATGTTGGAATGTACTTATGAAAGTATAGTAGATGCAGGTAATATTATTTTTACTAATTCTTTATTAATCTCGAATGTTTTAACTAGTGTTATTAAAATGTTCAAATAATATGTTTAAACAGTATTATCTAGAATATCCTTGAGGCACAATAGCATTTTTATTAATATTTTATACAAAACCATTGTATCATTTCAAATCAAATTTCCAAGGAAAATTGTATAAAATAATTAAATTTTTTTTTTTATTAATAAAAATGCATTAATACATAATTGAATTGTTAAAAATGTATATTTTTATAATAAATATGAATTTTTGTATCCTAACCCTAGAAATATGTAAAAAAAAAAAAAACACTTGAAATTTTGGTCATGCCTTCAACCAAACCACACTAAAAGATTATACATTTTTATTCCAAGAAACTACGAAGAGAACTTTTTATCATGCTCAATAATGTATAAACTATTGGAGAATATTTTTTCTAATAACACTAGTTTTAACAAAATTTATAATAAATTTGACAGGAATAAATCCAGATGTTATTCGTGGTTCAAAAACTGGTGTATTCATTGGAGCTTCTAACAGTGAAACTGATGACTATCTTAGTAGAGTTCCAGAACGAGTCAATGGCTATGGATTGACTGGTTGTTGCCGAGCTATGTTCCCTAATAGAATTTCTTATACATTTGACTTTAATGGACCCAGTTATGCAATAGATACAGCCTGTTCCAGTAGTTTATTTGCACTTTCACAAGCTGTTCATGCTATGAAAAGTGGGCAGTGTGATTCTGCTATTGTTGGTGGTGTCAATTTATTATTAAAACCTACCAATTCATTACAGTTCCACAAACTGAGTATGTTGTCACCACAAGGAATGTGTAAAGCTTTTGATGTGTCTGGTATGTTATAATTATACCTAATAATTAGTGATGGACATTTTTAAATAGTTTTTAAAATATTTTGAATAGACTTTTGAATAGTTTGAGTGACTGTTTAAAAAGAACTATTGAATAGTTTTAAAATATTTTATTAGATCTACCAAATTGTTTTTAATAGACTATCTGATAAGTTTTAAAGAAGAATGTTATTAAGTATACTTAATTATAATAAGAAGATTAATTGTAATAAATATTTTCATTACTTTAAATGAATAATTTTTTTTTTTTTTTTGTAGAATAAAAAATTTGTTTGCACATAAAAAATATTCATTAATACCAATGTTTTACGTTACACTTGATACCCTGTGTATTGTTCTCTGTCTAGCATTATTTGCTCCATTGTCTTGCAAAGGTTTAATAAAGTTAGCATGTTTTTTTAATATTTTCTTTTGTTCTATAAAAATATTTAGTAAAAAATAGTGGCAACAATATAAATAGCACTGTCCTATTTAAAAATCATACTAACTTTTTTATTATTAACATTAAAAAATCTGTTAGAATTTCTTTAAGTTGTCGGTTAATCATGAGTCATATTAAATGTGTTATTGTTATTTTAAAATTAAATAATCAGTTATAATAAATAATTTAATTATATTTCTTATAAATAGTCAAAAAATATTAATAAATTTGTTAGTTATAATATAGAGTTAGTTAATAACTCTACCAAAACTTTATTTTATGTTTTAAAATAAAAAAAATGAATGTATATATAATTTAAGTATGAAATTATACTATTAAAACTATTTAAAAAGATTAGGGAACTATTATATATTTTTATTACTCCAATAATTATTGAATGATAATTAAATAGTTTGATAGTTACTATTTAATATTTCCCATCACTACTATAAATTTTTATTAGTGAATTATGATTTAATGAAAAATACTGTATATGTAATTATAGGTAATGGATATGTTAGAAGTGAAGCAGTTGTTATTGTATTTTTACAAAAAGCTAGTATAGCCAAACGTAGTTATGCTACAATAATGGGAGCACTTACTAATACAGATGGTTTTAAAGATCAAGGAATCACATTCCCTAGTGGATCAATGCAAAATAAACTCATTCAGGAAGTTTATGCAAAATGTGGTGTAAATCCATGTGATGTCTCTTATGTTGAAGCTCATGGTACAGGAACAAAAGTAAGAATATGTATATACATATTGATGTAATAAATGTATAAATTTTTTTATATTTATTTATCATTGTTTTATGTATTTGGTTAGGTGGGTGATCCCCAAGAAGTAAACTCTATTGCTGATTTCTTCACAAAAGGCCGTTCTTCTCCATTATTAATTGGATCTGTTAAATCAAACATGGGTCACTCTGAGCCTGCTTCTGGTCTTTGTTCATTAGCTAAAATTGTCATTGCCATGGAGGCAGGCAAAATTCCAGGAAATTTGCATTTTGCCAATCCAAACCCTGATATCCCAGCATTATTAGATGGAAGATTACAAGTTGTAAACGAGAACTGGGAATTTAATGGTGGTTATATTGCTTTAAATTCCTTTGGTTTTGGTGGAGCTAATGCTCATGTTTTATTAAAATCAAATCCTAAACCAAAAACTGCACCCATTCAAAATAACGTACCTAGATTAGTAACAGTTTCAGGAAGAACCCTAGATGCTGTTAATAATATGTTGACCAATGTATGTTAAATAATTATTAAACATTTTAAATTTAACTGTTAGTTGGCTAACTTAAATTAATAATTAGATTTCCAATACACCTTTGGATGATGACTTTATTGCACTGATCCATGACATTCACTCAAATAATATTAATGGACATGGATTTAGAGGATATTCTGTTTTAGGAAAATCTATTACTGAAGTAGCTGTATGTTAATATTAAAAATTTGTTTTAATTATTTGTTTTTTGATTCTGAACTACTTTTAGGAAGTAACATCTAATAAAAGACCAATATGGTTTATTTTCTCTGGAATGGGAAGTCAGTGGGCTGGTATGGCTGAAGGTCTGTTACAATTGGAACCATTTTCAAAAGCTATTAATAGAGCAGCTGCAGTTCTTCAAGTTGAAGGTCTTGATTTATTAAGCATCATTAATTCTAAAGATGAAAAAACATTTGACAATGTTTTGAACTCATTTGTATCAATTACATCAATGCAGGTAATTTTATTGTATTTTTTCTTTTACTAGTGTATTAAAAAATTTGGCCAAATCCAAGTAGTTGGGATTAAGGTGAGAAAAGATGACTAGTGATTTAAAAAAAAAAAATTTAAAAAAAATAGGTTGCTTTAGTTGACTTATTAAAATCAATTGGTATTGAACCTGACGGTGTTGTTGGTCATTCTGTGGGTGAACTTGGTTGTGCTTATGCTGATGGTACTTTTAATGCAGATCAAGCAGTTTTAGCTGCATATTGGAGAGGTCGTAGTATTTTAGAATCTAAATTATCTACTGGATCTATGGCTGCTATTGGTAAGAATATTGTTTTCTTGCTTTTCTGTACATACATTAATCCAAAAAAATTAACTTCTAAGGTTTATCATGGGAAGAAACCAAAAAGAGGTTACCTGGAGATTTAGTTGCTGCTTGCCATAACAGTGAAGACAGTGTTACTGTGTCAGGTCCTCCTGACAGTCTTAGTGCGTTTGTGAAAGTTTTACAAACGGAAGGAATTTTTGCTAAAGAAGTTAAAAGTTCTGGATTTGCTTTCCACTCTAAATATATTGCAGATGCTGCTCCAAAATTACGTAGCAATTTAGAAAGGGTATTGTTATATTTTTAATTAAATCAAAGCTGTTAATAAAGAAATAAGTTTTAATTTTGTTTTTTTTATTTAGATTATACCAAATCCAAAACCACGAACAAAACGATGGATAAGTTCTTCTATTCCCGAAGATAAATGGAATACCCCATTAGCACAAATGAGTTCTACTGCTTACCATGTAAACAACTTGTTAGCTCCAGTTTTATTCCATGTAAGTACTTAATTTTAAAAATATATAATTATATTACAATAACTCATAATAACTGCATTTATTGAATTAATGTGTATCTTAATTTTGTTATGGTTTATTTAGGAAGCTATTTCTCATGTTCCAAAAGACTCTATTGTAGTAGAAATCGCACCACACGCATTACTTCAAGCAATCCTTAAAAGAGCTTTAGGACCAGAATGTTCTTGCATTGGCTTAACAAAACGTTCTACTAACCCTGAAGGAAACCTACCTCATCTATTATCTGCTGTGGGAAAGTAAATAAAATTTTTATTTTATTTTGTATATTTCATAAAAAAAACTACTAAAATTTTTTTTACAGATTGTATAATTCTGGAACTCAACCTAAAATTCAAAATCTGTATCCAGCTGTAACTTATCCTGTAGCTAGGGGTACTCCTATGATTCAGTCGATGGTTGAATGGGATCATTCTGTAGAATGGACAGTAGCTAACTTTGCTCAAAAGGTTAATTCTATATAATTTTAACATAATTTCAATTATATTTCAAATTAATTAATGATTTGTAGGTTATCTCTTTGTTATATTTAACTTAATATTTTTTTTTAGGATGCTGGATCTGGTGAATCTATAATCAAAATTGACTTAGGTACTGAAGAAGATCAATATTTGTCAGGACATGTGATAGATGGTAGAGTTTTATTCCCTGCAACTGGATATTTGGTACTGTACTCTTTATGAACTATTATATAAACAACAAAGCAGTTATTATTATGTTTATGGGAAATACTTGTATATTTTTTATGTTACTATTTATCTATTATTTGTAGACTCTTGTATGGAAAACTTTTGCTAAACTAAATGATAAAAATATTGAAGATTTCCCTGTTGTTATTGAAAATGCTCAATTCTTACGTGCTACTATAATGCCTAAAGATGGTAATTATACAATTTATTTTGATTAAAAAATTTAAATATCTTTTATTAAAAATAACTATAAAAATAATATTTAAATATAATTAATGTACATTATATATGATTTTTTATGACTCAGGAACTGTCAAATTCTTAATCAACATTTTTGAAGGAAATGGTAATTTTGAAATTTGTGAAGGTGGTTCTGTAGCTGTAACTGGTCGTATCTTTATTCCGGATGATATAGAAATTGAGCAACTAGAACTACCTGAACCTTATGTTGAAGAAAATAGTTTACCTTTAAAATCTGGAGATATTTACAAAGAGTTGGGCCTCCGTGGATATGATTACAAAGGAATGTTTAAAGGAGTGAAAGAAAGTGATAATAAAGGTAATATATATTATACATCATCAAATAATTATAACATTTAATTTGAAATAAAATGCTATAGGTGTCAGTGGAAAGTTGGAATGGATTGGAAACTGGATTAGTTTTATTGATACTATGCTCCAGTTCTCCATTTTAGGTTTAAAAACAAAGGAATTATATTTGCCAACTAGAATGCAAAGAATTATAATTGATCCTAAAAAACATTTAGAGTTTATTGAAGCATTACCAGAGAATTCTAGTAAGTTACAATATTATTGATTTCTTTATTTTTAATTTATTATTTTATTACTTTTTCAAAGATTTTTTGAATAATTGATTTTTACTTTATGATTTAAAAAAAAATATATTTCTTTTTTGTCATTAACTTATTGGTACATTCTCTATTTAATAAAGAACTTGCCATGTATGTTTTATTGAGTAACAAATATAGAATGTATGATACCAAGAATTTTTTTTTTTTTTTTATGATTCTTGAATTCTGATGGTAATTTTTTGTTTAGCTGTTCCAGTACATATGTTTAGAGATATTGATGTCATTAAATCTGGAGGTGTAGAATTACGTGGATTAAAAGCAAGTTTAGCTCCTAGGCGTCAGCAATCACAAGCTGCTCCTAAACTAGAAAAATACACTTTTGTTCCATATATATCTGAAAAAGTAATTGTGTATATTAATAAGTTAAAAATATTTTTAATTGCTTTATTTCTGGTTATTTATTGCTAAAGATAACACCTCCAATTGATGTATCAAGTGTTTTTTCTGCATTCCTCCAAATTGCTTTAGAAAATAGTGCTGGTGCAATGAAATTAAAAATAGTGGAGTTTGGAGCTGATAAACCATTTGAAAATATATTCATGCCAAATATAGTTAACATATTAGAATCTGAACCATTAATTACAGTAAGTGTTATAAATGTATTAAAATATATTATTTTGCTTAATTTTTTGGGTACATTAAAAAATAATTGATTTTAGTTGGATGCTACATTAGTAACTACACAATCACAAGCTTTAGCTCCATTCTTAGGACCAATGGAAGTAAAAATGGTCAATAAATCATTAGAAAATGGTCCTATTGATACTAATGCACATGTTGTGATTGCTTTTGATACTATAAAATCTCCATCTTTAGTTAAAAATTTGGGTGAATCTGTGAAATCTGGCGGCTTTATTATTTTATGTGAATCAAAAAAATTTTCGGAAAGTATTATTGAAAATAGTGAACTTGTTTTGGTTAGCAAATTAGCCGGTGAAGATAAAATGTTCTTTTTATTAAGAAAGGTAAATTTTAATATGAATTGAGATACTTAATTTAATATAAATTTTATGAAATAATTTTATTTTAGTTGAACGAAGATTTACCTATAACAGAAGTTATTCAAATTACTGAAAAGTCTTATGATTGGGTTGAGACCTTGAAAGCTGCTTTGAAATCTGCTGAAGCAGATCCTAATAAAAAATTCATTTTATATGCTCAAGGAGAAGATACTAATGGAATAATTGGATTAATGAACTGTGTAAAACAAGAACCAGGTGGTCTAAGTTTTAAATCAGTTTTTATTCAAGATCCTGCAGCACCTAAATTTTCATTGACTCATCCTCTTTATGTCGAACAATTAAATAAAGACCTACTTAGTAATGTACTAAAGCCAAATAGTGTTTGGGGTACTATGAGGCATTTAAAATTGGAAAACCAACAAGATAAACCATCTTTACAAGTTGAACATGCTTATATTAATGCTTTGACTAGAGGAGATTTAAGTAGCTTAAAATGGATTGAAGGTCCTTTAACGTACCATAAGTGAGCTATTATTATTTCTATTTGACTATTATAATACAATTTCTTTTCAAAGTAATAATTTTTTTTAATTAATCTAAAAAATCATTGAAATTAAAGGCCTGAATCTGATGCAAGTACAGAATTATGTACAGTCTATTATGCTCCACTTAACTTCCGTGATATTATGTTAGCTTCTGGTAAACTTCCACCTGATGCATTACCAGGAGATTTGGCTGGACAAGTTAGTTAAAATTCTAATTTCTAAATTCTAAATTCTTGAAATAGCAAAAACTTATTATGGTATTTTTTGTAGGATTGTATACTGGGATTAGAATTTTCTGGGCGTGACAGTAAAGGTAGAAGAGTTATGGGTATGCTTGCTGCTAGAGGATTGGCTACAACTGTTTTAGCTGATCCTGGTTTCTTATGGGTTGTGCCAGATAAATGGTCTTTGGAAGAAGCTTCAACTATTCCAGTTGTTTATGGAACTGTAAGATAATATTTAAAATTAAATTAAAACTTTTTCAACTGAACAATTGTATATAATCATTTTTGCATTAGGCCTATTATGCACTTTGTGTAAGAGGACGTATGAAGCCTGGAGACTCATTGTTGGTCCATGCTGGTACTGGTGGTGTTGGTCAAGCTGCAATTTCGATAGCTCTTCATATGGGTGTTACAGTGTATACTACTGTTGGTAGTAAACAAAAACGAGAATTTTTGAAGAAAACTTTCCCACGGGTATAAATTTAATTTAAAGTTATATTTTTTTATTGTTAAGTTTAAAAGTTTTTCACATTAATGATAACTATATAAAAATGATAATAATTAATTTCCGCGTAATTGACACAAAATTAAAAATATACATATATTTTTTTTGTAGAAATAATAACTAATAATTTTTTTTTTTTTAATTATGTGGAAAATATTTTAAAAACATGTTTTATACTAATGTGTGTAAATATGTAATTTCTAGCTTTGATCTTTAGTAATGATCAGAATGCTATAGTAATATAGCCTTAGTATTAATTTTTTTTTTTTATTAATACATAATTTGTTTAGGAGTCATGTAGTGAGCACAGCTGTCTTAAATCAAAAGCTCAAATTTTATTTTCTTCTAATATTTTTCTTATATTTCTATAATTATTTGTCAATCCATTTTTCTAAATGATACTGTTAGATGTTTCATGTTCTTATGATTGTGTTTAATACTAATTTTATATTATTTTGTAATTTTTTAGTTGACTGATAAAAATATTGCCAATTCCCGTGACACTAGTTTTGAACAACATGTTCTCAGAGAAACTAAAGGACGTGGAGTAGATCTTGTTTTAAATTCTTTAGCAGAAGATAAACTTCAAGCCTCTGTTCGTTGTTTAGCTAAAGATGGTCGTTTCCTTGAAATTGGAAAACTTGATTTATCTAACAATAGTCCACTTGGAATGTCTATTTTCTTAAAAAATACTACATTCCATGGAATTCTTTTGGATTCTTTGTTTGATGCAAAGTCTGATAATGAAGATAAAAAAGAAGTTGTTAGATTGCTCAATGAAGGAATGATAAATGGTGCTGTTAAACCACTTCCTGCTACTGTTTATAGTGAGTCACAAGCTGAACAAGCATTTAGGTTTATTGGTTCTGGAAAACATATTGGAAAAGTTGTATTAAAAATCAGAGATGAAGAATCAACATCTGTTATGAAACCAACAACTAAACTTGTTACTGCTATACCAAGATCTTACATGAACCCTGATAAAACATATGTACTTGTTGGTGGTCTTGGAGGTTTTGGCTTAGAGTTAGCTAATTGGTTAGTTATTAGAGGTGCTAAAAATCTTGTGCTTACTGCCCGAAGTGGAATTACTACTGGATATCAAGCTTTGTGTGTAAGAAATTGGACTGGAGCTGGTGTTAAAGTATTGATTTCTAAAGCTGATTGTTCAACTGAAGAAGGAGCCCAGCAGCTGATTGATGAAAGTAACAAATTAGGTCCTGTTGGAGGTGTATTCAATTTAGCTGCAGTAAGTTATTTTCTTAGACAACTTTATATTAGGCGTATTATATACTTTATATTAGAGAAGTAAAGTTTTTTTTTCTAAGGGAAATTAAGCTACATTTTTTTCCTGCGAAAAAATATCTTTTGTATAACAATGCATATAATTTTGGTAAATTTCTAATTGGTTGAACCGTCATAGTCCCTCGCCTATGCCTATTATATTTGGTAAAAAGATAATTTTGTATAATTTTTTTTTATTTAATACAGGTTTTAAGAGATGCATTTTTGGAAAATCAAACCCCTCAAGATTTTGAAATTGTTAGTAAACCAAAAGTCATCGGTACTAAAAACTTAGATGTAATTACTAAAAAATGTTGCCCAGAATTAGATCACTTCATTGTGTTTTCATCTGTATCTTGTGGACGTGGTAATGCTGGACAAACCAACTATGGCTTTGCTAATTCTGTCATGGAAAGAATTTGTGAAGCAAGACAAGAAGCTGGTCTTCCAGGAGTAAGTTTATTTTTTAGTTGTATAGCAATTAAATACATCTTTAAATTTGTTTACTTAATGATACTTGTTTTATTTTAAATAGTTAGCTATCCAATGGGGAGCTATTGGTGATGTGGGTCTAATTATGGATACAATGGGTGGAAATGATACAGTTGTTGGTGGTACTTTACCTCAACGTATGGCTTCATGCTTAAATGCTTTTGATACTTTCTTACAACTACCACATCCTGTTTTGGCATCAATGGTATTAGCAGAAAAAAGAAAGGGTGGATCTGGTGGTGCAAACCAAGTAAGCTTACTTGATGCAGTCGCCAATATTCTTGGAATAAAAGATACCAAGAACATCAATACATCCGCTACATTAGCAGATTTGGGTATGGATTCTTTAATGGGTGCCGAAATCAAACAAACATTAGAGAGGAATTATGACTTAGTATTAAGTGTTGGAGAAATTAGAACTTTGACTGTTAAAAGATTGCAAGAATTACAAAGTAATGACACTGAAATTGTTACTGACACTAATACAGTAACTGCCGGTAATGATCAGGTATGTATTATTATTATTATTTTATTAACTAAACATATTAGCTTCGATGCGAAGCTGAGAAGGTATTGGTTTTACTAAGATGTGTTTTTTTTTTTTTTTTTTTTT